CACGGAGATGGCCGTCCCAGGGGCTAGGGGCGCAGTCCCCGGCAGCCGTCCAGCGTGGCTGCGCGTGCGAGGGCGGGCGGCACCCGCAGGGCCCAGCGGGGGCCGGCGCGTGTGCGGACGGGGCTCGTCACGGGCCACCTCTCGCCGCAGCCCATCCCTGCCCCGAGTCGCCCGCGGGGACAGGAACGGGACCACCAACTCGGGGCCCCGGGTCTTACAAGTTCTCACCACCTCGCGCCCCCTACCCGGCACCCCTGGGAGCCAGTCTCTTCGCCCCCCACTCGGGCAGAGGACGCGAGAGCCTGCCTGGTGGAGCAGCATCGGCCCTAGGGTGGGCGTCAGCTGGTTACGAAGCCCGCCAAGGGGATGGGGGGCACTGGGCAGGTTCTCGGCCGGCTCAGGCGCCTGCCCACGGTGCCGGTCCCGGCTTGGCCGAAACTGGCCCCTTCAAGGACTGGGGTGCGGGCCGGCCACCGTTGTCCGGTTGCGTCGGTAGAGCCCGTGGCGCAGTAGTGGGAACCCTGGCCACTTCACTCCGGCTCCCTCCCGGCGGCGCCTGGGGGCACCGCGGGAGGCAGGGCTGTGACGCCAGCTAGGGGCCCGACTCCCCGCGGCGGCCGCGCACTTGGGTGGTAGCCCTGCACCTCTGGGCGGCCCCACCAACCGCCGCGCCACCTCCAGTCACGGTGCCCCGAGCGAAACAGGCAGTGAGAGCCGGGCCCTGTCACGCGGGGCCAGCCTGGGAGGGCGTCCGCTTCGTCCAGTCTCCGTGGGGGTCCCCTTACCTGCGGCTCTCCGCACGACACGTCGCTCCGAGCACGGGGGCTCCGAAGTGGCACCGGACACGACAGCCACGGCCACGCAGAGCGCGAGGGCGCAGGCCGGGGAGCCCATGGCGGGACAGGGGTCCTCAGGCGACGCACGCGGGCATGCTGTCCCCCACGGTCCGGCGGCGGAAACGACCCGCTCCGGAGTCTGAGAGAGAAACGAGCGGCGCGTGAACCCCGCGGACCGGCCTTCGCCCCTCCGCCCGCCGCCGCCCGGCTCCCGGGCCGCCTGGCGCCACCGCCGCCCCTCCGCCGTCCCTCCCTCCTCGCAGCCCTCCCGGCGGCCACACAGCCCTCCCAGGGCGGCGGCGAGAACTTTCCGGAGAGGGAAGCCCCGGCCTGGCCCCGGGCACCGCCGCAGAGACCTACCGTCCCGAAGCCAACATCCCACCCTCACCCATGCCCCGCGCCCGGCCCCTAGGCGCCCCGACCTGGCGAGACGGCGCCCTGCTCGCAGTGTGCAGCTCCCCTCCGGCTCCCGGCCCGCAGTCCGCTCCTC